AAGTTTGATGCCTTCCAGCTGTCACAGTCTTCACATCACTCTTTCATTTCACCTGCCTACTTCACACATTGGAAACCTTTAAGACATAGTTTTCAACCTTCAGCTTAAAGGTTGAAAAATCTTGTGTTTAAAAAAAATGAGAGCAGCCAGGTGCGGTGTTTCACACCTGTAATCCCAGCACTTTGGGAGGCCAAATCAGGTGGATCACTTGAGATCAGGAGTTCAAGACCAGCCTGGTCAACATGGTGAAACCCCGTCTCTACTAAAAATACAAAAATTAGCCAGGTGTGGTGGCGCACGCCTGTGATCCCAGCTAATCCGGAGGCTGAAGCAGAATTGCTTGAACCCAGGAGGCGGAGGTTGCAGTGAGCCGAGAGCATGCCACTGCACTCCAGCCTAGGTGACAGAGCGAGACTTTGTCTCAGAAATAAAATACAAAAAATTAGCCAGGCATGGTGGTGTACACCTGTAGTCCCAGCTCTTTGGGAGGCTGAGGCACTAGAATCGCTTGAACCCAGGAGGTAGAAGTTGCTGCGAGCCAAGATTGCCCCACTATGCTCTAGCCTGGGCGACTGAGCGAGACTGTCTCCAAAAAAAAAAAAAAGACCTAAGTAGGTTAAGTGCCTGGTTTAGAGAAACATAGCTAGACTTCTGATCAAGTGTAGAGAATGAGTTCATTCTAAGGATAGACAAGGCCAAATTATGTAAGGCTTTGCTACATTTTCAAGCACTGCCACCAGACCATGTTTAGGAATGATAGTTTGGCAATACAACGACGTACACTCAAGGCAGAGACAGGGTATAAACCCATGCAGCAGGAAGAAAGCTGGACATACTGCTATTAAGATAATATAAGATAGTGAGTAGTCAAGGTGAAGTGCCATGAATGAGTTACAGTATACAGAGAGACTGACCTCCCCCAGCCCCCACAGCCCTAGGGGCAGCTAGGTGGGGTCTGAACCTGAAAGATTTCCCTGGGCTGGTTACAACTGTGATGACAAACTGAAGTCAGGTGTTGTACAAATAGCAAATTTCATCAGTTCTTAGACATGTATCTCTTTATATTTAACATCAGGAATTATAGTGAACATTACATCAGATGGCTTCTTAGAGTGACAGTTAATCAGGGCAGCAGCTGTGACTCAATTGTTTTGGCAGGTGCATGCATGAACTTCTTCATAGCTCTTCTACACTTCTATAGAGTTATGAGTATTGTTTGCTGTATACTTACTATGTTTAATTGCCATTTATAGCACAATAGGGTGACTAGAGTCAATAATAACTTAATTATACATTTTTAAAATAACTTAGGGAGTGTAATTGGGTTGTTTGTAACTCAAAGGAGAAATGCTTGAGGGGATAGATACTCCATTCTCCCTGATGTGTTTATTTCACTCTGTATGCCTGTATCAAAGCATCTCATGTACCCCATCAATATATATACCTACTAAGTACCCACAAAAATTAAAAAATAAAAGACTATGCTGTGATTTGGCTTAACAAAAGTTTACTGGGTATGGAAATAAGCATGAAAACAGAACAGCAGTTTGCAAGCATGTAGTGGTGAGGCAAATATGGATTATTGGAGGAGCAGTCACAATTTCATGTATTCTTGCAAAGCAACCAAGTAATTTACAATTCCTTAAAAAGGTGGATAACTTTGAGTAGATAAGCTACTCAAATTGCTTACTTCAGTTTAAGGTTGAAGAAACTACCAGATCCCTCAGACTATAAGGAAAAAATGTGTAAGAATGAGAGAACAGTTTTTGAGTCACAAGTACTCTTGTTAAGGCATCGCACATTAATTTGTCAAAGACTTCCTGCTGTCTTTGAATAGAAGCTATTAAATTTCCAAAGATGTATGATTCAGCAGTTGCTGCAAAATGTAACTATACGTTTAGTCAATTAGGAAATGGCAATAAACCTTTATATTCTTTGACAACCATCAACATTATACTGTCAATGCTAAAGACACCAAAAGTGTGTGGATTTATGTAAATAAGTGGCATGACACTATGACTCTGTGCATAGGCATGCCGCTATATTTAATTGAAAACTGTAAAATATTTAATAAAATCTCCTGTGATAATACTGTGCATACTCACAAGAAGGGGATGTGCAGTGCTTTCATTGATGATCTATAAAGTTGCCGTGGGCACTGAGTTAGCAAATACTAAATCATTGCTTCTAGGGGAAATACAGGTTAGGTTCCTATGAGTGTGTGGTCACAGTATTTTCATTAGCTGATCAACATATAACCTTGTTTTATGTGCATTTCTGTTTAAAAACACTTTATTTAATATATATTGTGGATTCATTAGCATTGAACTGCAGCCAACTGCACTGTAACTGAAAACCTGAATAAACCTTATCTAATATGCGTATTTTCTCTGTAAAGTACGTGAAAGCCTTCTTGGGCTTGGAATCACTAAATAGCAATTGAGCACTGTGCTCGAGGGCCATGTTAAACATTGAATTCACTGACAAAAAGCTCAAAAATGGGAAAACTAGCATTAAATAGACCATTAAGAGGACACTTGTTTCCAGTATAAGAGCTGAAAGAAGAAGGTAGAGTATCATCTTGCTCAATCTTGGCTGGGAACTAAAATGTTTTGCCACCCTGTGAATATTTGTGAATGACCATCAGAACTCTGTGAGTATAGATTTGGGAATCACAAATTTTAGCATGTAGGCAGGTTTAAAATGCAAAACCCATAAATAACAAAGATGGACAGAACTTTGCAAAACTTCAAAGTCATATGTGGGTAAAGGGAAGATTAAAAAATTGGAACCAATGATGCCAAATCTTGAGCTCCATCTCAGACTTACTCAGTCTTGACCTGCATTTCCTATTCCCCAAGTGTTTGTATGCACATGTGAGACACACTGCCCTTGATACCATGATAGGCACATCTGTACCAGACAGTGAAAGTTAAACTGTATAAGCCGTATAAACCAGATGGTGGAAGTTAAATTTTACAGTTTAACTCTACAAATTGGAGACCTACATTTGTAAAGTTTTTTGGTGGTGGTCTAAAGGTCTGGGGTGTGCTAGGGCAACCTCTGTAAGGTGAAAGACAATGTATTGCATCTTACAATTCCTATTAATAGCAAAGGGCAGAGCTCCTCGTGGATCTCTCTGTCTTTTAGAGATAGACTATTCACTTGGGAATACAGATTCAAAACATTTATTGGGTGGTATGGAAAGCTGTCAATTTGAGTGGATCCCTAGCAAGTGAGTGCTCTGCAGCAAGTCCCTGCTGGGATGCAAACTGTCTTGCTGTCTGGCCTTGTGTCTCAGCAGATCCAATGCTGCTAGAGTCCCTGACAGATAAAGATACTGTGTGAAGTCTCAAGCCCCTAACAGGTGAATCACAGTGCAGAGCCTCAGGGATCTGGAGCAAGGCCTCCTTTCACAGTAAGTAATTTGAAAAGCAGCCACTGGCATGCACTGTGCCCAGCAGAGACTAAGAGTCTGGCCATGTAACTCTAGTGATAACGCAACTAAGCCCATCACAAGCTGGACCCTGCCAGTTTTGCCAAGCCAAAGTGTTAGATGATCATAGCAGCAATCCATTAGACAGATAACAACGAAGAGGAGTTAGGATAATGAAATGCCTCTGAGGTCAAAGAACAGTGGCCAGAAGAACATGGGTGGGAGAGTTGGAAGTTTCCCAAGAAAGCGAAGCTCAGCATAATAGTACTATCTTTTTCTGATTCCCGAACTGCTCTCTCCCTGAATTTCCTCTATTAGGTGCAGAATAGTAATATGCACTCTTCCCCAGGTCAAATTTATGGAGTCATCATTGATAACTTCTGCTCATCAAAGAGATCATCCCTTAAAACAGTATCTCTTTAATCTGTGCCTTTCTCCATGGCTACTGTCTTAATTTTTTTCGGCATTTTTTTCTTACACATTTTCCACGTTATTGACAAGGGGTGTTTCTGCATATCTGATCATCCCATTTATTCTTTAAATGTTTAGTGAGCATTTTCTGTGTATCAGACACTGGGTTAGGCCCTGGATAAATAATATGAAGAAGAAAAAAGAGACATTGCTGCTGGCCTCCTGGAATTTACAGTTTGGTGAAAAAGACACACAACACATCCTGCTTAAGATCATTCAGGGTTCCTTGCTGTTTCAGGAAGCCCAGATATCTTGACTGGGTTTCCTCTGCTTACCTCTCCAGCATCACCTCTAATCAGCGCCCTTTACTCTACAGCTACAATGCATTTTCCCTGCTTCACAGCACCCTCCTCTCTGCCTGGGTAAAGTCTACCAACTTTTAAGGGTTCAGTCCAGGAATCCAGTTTCTCAGGAACACTTCCACACCTCATGCCATCACTACCATGTGGGTACCACGCTTTTTATCCTGATTCTCTGTTGTCTTGTCCACTGCTAATACTGCACAGTGAACTCAACTTTGTGTCCGCAACACTTAGTACAGTGATTTATAGTACTCGACATTTTTTGTCAAATGGAATCGGATATATAGAAATACCGCCTGCCTCCCGCAAGAGCAGACAAGGCCAGCCCATCACTCCTGCACCCCGACAAAGGAACAACAGCTGCACGGCCTCCACCGGCCTTGCTGCCTGGCAAAGGGTAGCCACGGGGCGTGTGTCTCAGAATAGGACTCCGCGGCGCGCCTCCTAGCGCCGTCTGTTGACACTGCAAGAATGCGAGGGGGCTGGTGAGCACGCGGTCCCAGACCAGCGCCCGGCGCATGCGTAGAACGTGAGCGCTCGTCCCGGCCCGGCTCGGAAGAGTCCAAGCGTGAGGGGAGAGGACTGTGGATTTAGATACTCTTTTCCTCCCGAAATAGGAACTTGGCTCTTATTTTTTTCCTACTCAACAGCATCTCAATTTGAAATATGACACTTGACCTAAGGCCCTGCAGGGAGCGGTTAAGAGGGTGAGAGGCTCGTCAAACTCTTTTTGGTGCTTAGGCGCCCTCCTCGGGGCGGTGGGTTGGGCGGGCCCAGGTCAAGGCGCGCGTGGGCGGAAGCGGCGGCGGCGGCGGCGGCGGCTGTCAGAGCTGGAGGGGCCGGGCACCGCGGCCATGGAGGGACAGCGCTGGCTGCCGCTGGAGGCCAATCCCGAGGTGGGCGCGCTTTGGGACAGCCCTGGGGCCCTGGGCAGGCGCAGAGGGAGCCGGGTTGCTGCCGCGAGTCCATGGTAGTTTGTCTCTAAAGCGTGTTCTCTGTTTCGTTTTCAGGTCACCAACCAGGTGAGTGAGGTGTCTGCCGCCCGGGACCTCGGAGTCCTTTCTGTCTGCTCGGTCCGCTTCCCTGCTGGACTCCACCTCCACGCTTCCAACGATTCTGGGGTTTAATTTCTTGAGGGCCCCTCTCGTTCGGCTTTACGCGGGTCCACCTTTTTCAGAAAGGGCCGTCTCCCTGCCACCTGGCTCCTGAAGATGCTCCCAGCTGGGAGCGTCTCAGCCTCTCCTCTGGTTCTATTCCCCAGCCACACGTATCCTGGGGACTCCGGGTCTGAGGTTTGGAGAGACTCTTACCCTGTATTCCTATTCCTCTTCCGTCTTCGTTTTACCTCCTGTTAGTGCCGATTCCATAATTTTTCTACTGGTGTACCTTCTGGATGACTAATTAGCCCACACTTCCTGACTCCAAGCTTTGTAAACTCGCCCACCCAGTCCTTGTAATTTCATCTACCGCCTGCACTATGAAATCATCTTCAATCATCTCTTGCCCCACCAAGTCCCTTTTCTTCCCCGCCACGCCCCCTTTATCTTTCAGTCTTTTAAAGATGGACACTTAGTTGCTGTTATATCAAAGAAAGCTCACTTTAGTAGTTCCCAGGCCATTCTTTGCCATCTACAGCGATTGAAGTTCCTTTTGGGTGTTGAAGGTCAGAGGTCAGAGGTCGGGGAGGGGCGAGGGAACATCACCCAGCCATTCAAAAGAACAGTAAGTGCTACCAGGTATAAACTTTTGATCTGCTCAGGTGTGCCTTATCTTACCCTGTTTTGTTTTGTTTTTTTAATTCTCAACAGCTCATTTACTTTTTACTGCTCTCCAAGTTTATCATACTCGCCTTATCTCCATCATCTTCCTTCTCATCACTGAGAAACAATTCGCCGTGTTCTTAAAAAACTTGGTTTTTGGTTTCAAAGCTTGTGGCAAATTCCCTAGACAGAGAGACATCTTGTCTTGGTCTCTATCTTAGGGAGGAAGCATTTGCTCTTTCTTCATTAAGTATGTTTAGGTTTTTGGTAGATGTTTTTCAAATCAGGCTGAGTTTCTCTTTCCCCCTACGGGGAACTGATTCTTATGAATCAGTGTTGAATTTTTGCAAATGATTTTTCTGCATCTTTTGAGACATGATCATTTAAGGAAGAAATAATGCCAATTCTACATAAACATGAAAGATGGGAGTTGGCTGGGTGTGGTGGCTCACGCCTGTAATCTCAGCACTTTGGAAGGCCGAGGTGGTCAAATCATCTCGGGAGTTCGAGACCAGCCTGACCAGTGAAACCCCGTCTCTACTAAAAATACAAAAATTACCCGGGCGTGGTGCCGCGCGCCTGTAATCCCAGCTACTTGGGAGGCTGAGGCGGAAGAGTTGTTTTAACCCGGGAGGCAGAGGTTGTAGTGAGCCGAGATTGCGCAGCCTGGGTGGCAGAGCAAGACTCTGTCTCAAAAAAAAAAAAAAGAGGGGAGAACACTTCCGAACTCATGCTAGCATTACCCTGACACCAAACTAGACAATTCATAATAAGAAAATCTGCAGTCCGCGTGTGGTGGTACGTGCCTGTAATCCCAGCTACGCGGGAGGCTGAGGCAGGAGAATCACTTGAACCCTGGAGGCAGAGGTTGCAGTGAGCCAAGATTGTGCCATTGCACTCCAGCCTGGGCAACAGGGCGAGACTCTGTCTCAAAAAAAAGAAAAAGAAAAAGTGCAGATCACTATCCTGTATGAACATGGATGTAAGAAATCCTCTACAAACTATTAGCAAATAAAATCCAGCAATAAAGATATAAAAAGAGTAACATATGACCAAAAGCAGTTTATCCTGGTGCTGCAAAGTGGGTTCACCATTACAAAATCAATGTAATTAGCCATGTCAGTAGACTAAAAAATGAGACTTTTTAGATGATAATTGTTTTAACAAACTGTAAGCTTGTGTAAGTGGGAACCTACGTGCTGTGCTTCAACTGCTAGTGGACCTTGTTCCTAGGGTGTCTTGAAAAATTATCAAACACATTAGCATTTTGGGGGCACCTTTTTAAATACCAGTAATCTGAACAGGAGCTGGTGACACTTTGGTGATTAATAAGAAAAAGACCATAGTGCTCTGATAGAGACCATCGGGGAAAATTTAATAAGTGGAATAGTGACAGAAGACCTTTCTGAGATGATATAAACAGAGAATGTTATTTAACATGTGATTGCACACTATATCGGCATGTTTTAACATGATTTAGCTTGTTTTAAATTTATTTTTTAAAGAAATGTGCTTTTAGTTGGAGTATGGGCAAGTATGTAAGAAGTGGTTAGTTTTAACTAAAAATTTTGTGGTTTCTTTATTCTCTATGTTTTAGCGGCAGAACCAAGACGAGGAAATGAATAGAAATGTATTTAACTGACTTAGAATTTGGAGAATAACCAAACCCTAACCATCCACCCTCTTATTTCCTCAACCAAATGGAATGGTAGGATCTTGAACTCACTCTGTTACCATCTGGTAATTGCATGTGTTGTTGTTATAATCAGTGTGAGCAAATACTGCTTTAGGTTCTGATGATGCCTAGTGATGTATAAGAATGGCCATCACGTGTGTACTCTATGCAGATGAGTATTGTTAGACATTAGCTGGTAACCATGTGTCTCAGCAGATGTGGTAGACAGTGATTTCTCTTGTTGGTTGGAATGCTGTCAGCCCCTTTTAAGGATGCTGTGTCATGCTACAGGTAGGACTTAATCAGAATAAAATGAGTTAAGTGATCAAAAAACTTATTTAAACATTTTAAGCTCTACTTTATTTACCTATGCATATGAAGGGGTAAATGCAGCTTGCAACCGATAGAAAGTTACAGATAATTGAACATCATGAATTATAACGTTTTTTAGAAGTATAGAATGTGGTCTAGGTAAATCATTATTATTTATGACTGTACTAAATCTTTATTGTGATTTTTTTTGTGATTTGAGTACAGTACAACCATATTATATGTATTTTACACATTGTTGTGTTTTAGAACTAATGATTTTTTTAATATGGATCTCTCTCCCCCAAGGATTATTCCTACTTGTGATTTTATTGAGGAGGCAAAATATTTTCTAGCATAATATCAAAAGGGAAATAAATTTACTACAGCATAACTATTCTATTTAGCCTCTATGCTTAGAGTTAGAACAAGAATTACAGGTCATCTGCTGGCTTATTGCCATAAGTACTCACAAAAAATAAATCATATAAATTCTCATAATAAGATTTCTCTAATTAGTAGATACCATTTTAGGAAAAAAACCTTTGTTATCCTGTCCTCCTTGAGCTGCTGCCTTATCTGTTTTCCTCCTTTGTAAACTTCCCACAAGGAATTGTTCATATCTGCTGCCACTGCTATTTCATTTCGCATTCTTTTCTGTATTTGTTCCTATGTAGCTTGCTTCTTTGTCTACCATTTCATAGTAACTAACTTTTGTCGGGTTTACTAATGATTGTCAGTTTGCCAGATCCAGTGGTCACTTTTCTGTCACCATATTTCTTGGCCTTTCAGGAGCATTTGATAGAATAGCCCACTCTATCCTTATTGAAACATCTTTTCTTGGTTTCTGGGATAATTCTGATTGTCTTCTATTTTCCTAAGTGCTTCCAAGAGTCTCTTGCTAGGTCATCTCCCTTCCAACTTTTAAGGAGCTCCTCAACTGCTTCATCCTAGATGTGTTTTCTTGCCCCAATAATGTTTTCTGTTGTATAGCTCTAATACCATCTGTTGTCACATAGATGACCCCATATCCCTCTACACCCTGACATTGCCACCAAATTGGAAATCTGTATATTCAGCTCTCTTTGGTGTCTCCATCTGGATGTCTTATAGTTACCTTAAACTTAATATGGCCAAAAAAGAAATGGATTTTCATCTTTCCATCTCTGCTCTAAACCCATTTCTTCCCCAGTCTTCCAAGGGCATAGCCATCCATCCAGTGTTCAAGGTGACAAGTTGATGCCATTGAGTCTTCTTTCAGATTGCCATTCTGGGGAGGCCGTGGTGTCTTGATTTTTGGATTGTAATCTCTGCTTTGCTATCTACCAGCTTTGAGACCATGGGCAGTTATCTAACCTCTTTATGCTTTAGTTTCTTAATTTCTTACTTTCTTTTTTCTTTTTCTTTTTCTTGTTTTTTTGAGACAGAGTTTCGCTCTTGTTACCCAGGCTGGAGTGCAATGGCATGATCTCGGCTCACCGCAACCTCCGCCTCCTGGGTTCAGGCAATTCTCCTGCCTCAGCCTCCTGAATAGCTGGGATTACAGGCATGTACCACCATGCCCAGCTAATTTTTTGTATTTTTAGTAGAGACGGGGTTTCACCACGTTGACCAGGATGGTCTCGATCTCTTGACCTCGTGATCCACCCGCCTTGGCCTCCCAAAGTGCTGGGATTACAGGCTTGAGCCACCGCGCCCGGCCCTTTTTTTCTTTTTTTTAAAGACAGGATCTTGTTCTATCTCCTAGGCAGGTTGGAGTACAGTGGCACAATCATAGCTCACTCTAACCTTGGAATTCCTGGGCTTAAGCAATCCTCCCACCTCAGCCTCCCAATTAGGTAGGACTATAAGCTTGCACCACCACACCCGGCTAATTTTTGCATTTTTTTGTAGAGACAAGATGGTTTTACTCTGTTTCCCAGGCTGGTCTCAAATGCCTGGCCTCAAGCAATTAGTTCCTTCATTTCTTATAGTCTCCTCTAATCTTGTAAGATCACTGTAAGGATCAAACAAATTACTACATGGAAAATATGTAGAACAGTGTCTTGAACAAAGCATTTTCTCCCTGAATGTCAGCTATTTTTAATATTCTGTTTCTCAGTCCTCAGATCTAATTGATCTGCACCTCTTACAGACTCTTCTTACAAAGGCTATTCCAAATACGGCTATTCTATTTCAGCTGTCACAGTGCAAGCCAGCATCATCCTTAGCTTGGACAACTGTAGTAGCCTCCTAACTAGTTGTTCTGCTTCTCCTTTTGCCTCCCTAAAATCTGATT